CTTCCTCTACAGAGCGCTTTTGTGAACGAAATTATAAGCCGTTGAAGGCCATTATTTTGCTGAGAAATTGTGCGTGCAAAGTGCAAACTTGGCCGTACAAAGCCATCGGCTCAGTGTTGTACTAAAATATGCAACTAGGCCACTTCATATGACCCATACCTAGAGATAAGCTGAAAGAATAATAATGTGCCTAATTTCGTAATTTTTGTATACGACTTTTTTGCAATAAAGCTGCTCATAACTTGGCTACAAATGCGCTCTGCAGATAAGGAAGACAGATTGAAATCAACATTTTATGCTGCATCGAATGATATGCAGCTTATATGGATTGGCCACTTCGACTTCTGACCATTCCCTTGTGAGCTTATTCTTTCCACTGATTTCGAAAATGTAGCTTGTAGAGTACGAAAATGTCGAAAACGGGCTGTTCCAGAAGCTGTTGATTTTGAGTATGGACACGTGCCGCCGAGGTTAAGACGCAGAGTCGTGCTGAGACCCTACGACTTGGCTGCGTGCTACATAAGTGGGCAGGAGTTTTATCAGGATGGGAACCCTGTACGCCAAAATTTCGTAACTGTCGGGACGCTGCTTTGAGTGGTGGAAGTGTTTGACAAAATGTACGTTTCTGTACTGTATAACCGCACTTGACAATGTACCTCCACGCATGACTTTTTGCCAGCCATCTTTCCTAGCACAAATCATAAACGAAACAGCATGCAGAGTTTACGTGAACGTTTCACTAAACTGCGCATTTACATAGGCGGATTGGGATCAGTCTCATATCAGAACATAATACTTCCAAAAAGGGACAGTGACGAGTAAACCAATGTGTACGAACATGAATATCAACCAAATGTATTACTTAAAAAGATTATGAATAAGTTTAAGCGGCTTTTATGACTTTGGTTTCTAGGGGAGAGCACGAAAATCGAACTAGTTACCGTACAGTGCTACTGTGAAAGATCGTCATGCTGACAGCTTGTCATGTGAAGTGCTCCCAACACAAGCATATCCTGTTTTGTCTCATAATGGCAGTTCCTACTTTGTTAAGTTTAAGCCATCGTTATCAGAGATAATTGTACATCCTCCTGCTCGTCTCCGAATTCTTGAAGTATCCGGAAAATGTAACACATCGCTACACACAACTATTTGCAACTTTTTTCACCAAATTCCTTATGACATCTGATGGAAAGTATCGTAAAAGTCATGCCGTAAGCAAAACCTGCTATGATTTAAGTATGTTTATTGACCGGATGCTCAATAACATTGCCACGTGCATCACCATGTGCAAGTATACTGAAAGCTTATTAGCTAATGTGTTTTATATAGTCCGCTCCATCGAGTGCTATTCTTCCGCAGGCTACAGTAAAGCTTACGAACCGCTACGAGATTGATGTGTGAAGAAATCTGCTTTAGGTTAAAAAGACTTTATTCATACTTAAGCAAATTATCGTTTCAGTGAGTAAACATCACGTGTACGTCCTTTCAAGGGAATACTTTTGTTAGCCGCAAAATACACAACGCTTATCGCGGGCTAAAACAGCAAAGCACCTGTATTTTTATAGGTTTTACCACATACTATAAAAGATTTGTAACATGCAATAGGCATAAAAGACAACGACAAGTAGGGCCAGCTTTCTCGAAATGTTCGAGAGTAAAAGAAGGAATAACTTTTAGAGTTTGGTAATGAGAAATCACGCCACTTAGTACTATCTAAATATTCACTCCTTCCAACACTTTTGGGCACGAATAATTTACTATGCCTCTTGCCCTTACCGCTTAATGGCTAAAAGGTTGAAGCGGAGCACAACTTTACTTGCGATCAATTTACCAATCAATCATGACTGAGCATTGTCGCTGTTGCATAGCACACACATACCTGCCTAGACTTCGGAAAGTGAGCGGTACTGTTTGTTCAATAGATGTGTTGCTCGATCGTAAGGCTAAGAGCTGAAACTCAAATCAAACATATTCAGCTAACTTGAAAGCAACTAGACATTATGAACTAATATTTTTGAGTAATGGTGGCCAGCTAAGCTATCGAATCTAGATGAGACAGAGACATTGACCTTTCTCCATCCTTCTGTGAGTTGCGAAACCCAACGAAAAGTCGAGGGAATGATGAAAAAGATTCATATCGAAGTAACTTGAACCTGTCAAGAATCGACTGCATGCTGGAATAAATCTCATTAACACTTATAAGCACAGCTAATCCTCCTCTCTGTTATCATCTATCTCGCATTCTTTTCTGCAAATAATCACGCTTAATCATACAAATATAATTCACTGTCGATGTCGCTTCCGCCTCTTTTGCCTAGGGAAGCTGAAGATTTTTTTGGATGTTATGCAAACATTCGGTAGTCTGCCTAACTATCATTTGATGTCGCTCATGCAAGCAATACTCTCACTTGCTGTCTCAGACAAGTCAATTTTTTTCAATAAGAAACATCTAATATTTCCTGCAAATGCGTGCGTTATTTCACCCTATAACAACTGTTTTACTTTCTGTACAGACGGCATTAAGGCAATCCTCTCTATAGTTGGGAGTTCCATTCAGCTTATTTCACCCAGTAAAGCAAAACGCAGAAATGTGGTGAGCGATGATAAACTCACAATCACATACGATTAACAACGTACAGCCGGACATTTCTTTCTTATCTTTTCGATGTTAAACGACATTGAAAAAAGAGATCAGAAATGGGCCTCCCAGCATTGGAAAGCGTGTCACTAAACAAGGAAAATAAAGCGTATACTCCAGTCTGACTAAGGTTCAAGTTTCGTTCTGAATGACATTTTTGGGCTTTTTGGTAAATAAACACTACCTAATTTGTAGAAAAGACTGTCACCTGGCAAAAGGTGCAAAAGGGTTCCCCCTTTCAAACAGGCGTTTGGCGTGGTATACAACAATCTCCAATAACAAAATCGCCTTGGATTTGTTAGAAGCTATTGACTCTTACTCTTATCCGCAACCGAAGAACCCAAACGCAGATTCTTTCAGGACTTTTTGCAGAGTTTTCTATGTCTCGATAAATGTTTCGGCATATATTGTCCATAATGATATGAGACTGGTCCTCAACTAAGGCTTAAATATAATTTTTACATAACTGGGTCAGTCTGATACACGTATGCGAGGAATTTGTTTCTCCGGGTAATCGTTGTGATCCACTCATATTTGCTTCAAAATACCATTTAAATTCATCTTGAAACCACATTGAGCATGCAGCAGTGCAATGTTGTTCTTGCTGAGATCTGTAAATGTCTCTCACACCAAGTTGTGATTGCGTACTTGCGTTACCTACGGTATACGTTCAACTGTTTGTCATACAGTGTCATCAGCATTCAGTACTTGCTACAACTCCTTTCCAGCTCTCGAGCAATACAGTGCATATAGGTGCATAGATTAAGTTGAACCGAAAGCTCGCTCGCACCGTTTTCAGAAAAACCGTAACTCCTCTCTATCACAACGTTACTGCCCAATTTGAATCCTATTAGAAAGCGCAAAGCACATACTTTCTAATTATGACCTGATGGAGACGAGTGGCGTAGTGGTATAAGGCTCCGCTATAACCCGATCGGACGCAGGTTCGATCCCGCCTCTGGGTCAGCCAAGCCCTCTACCTTCCGAGGACGGTAAATTGGCACCAGAGTAATCTGGGAGTATAAAGCAATGAACTGGTAATCGACTGGCCTCCGCAAGTTACTGTAATATAATAATCTCACGCATTCAGTAGCCTTTTCGACTATGAAGTAGGGTGCGTTCGGCGCATGCCTGCAGAGGGTACTGAAGACACCAAATCCTTTATCTTGATCCTAATGGCCTAATGGTTTTCAGCCAGGTTCAGATTGCAGAAATACAAATGGAGGAAGAAAATCTTCCGAAGTCCGGCGATTTAAGGGAAGCTCGTTAAAAATCCACAAACTGCCGGATAAATCCAAAAGAGTGCCATCATCCTTAGTTTTCTGACCTCTTTTCAACTGAGCAAAGTTTGAGCAGATCAAGCTCTTCTTTGAAAAGTTATGGTTTTCGAAATGCCAAGAAGCCACTTTTCCTAAGAGATTGATTTTTTGACTTTTTTCTGAAAAATCATAACTTTTCAAGGCAGAACTCGATCAGCAAAAACTTTGAAAAAGGTTAGAAAACTAAGGATGATGGCAGTTCTATATTTTATCGCGCTTTTGGTTTCAACGAACTTGCCTCAAATCGCCGGAATCCGCGAGATTTCTTTCTTCCACGTTTATCTCTGCAACCAAACCCAGCTCAAAGACGTTAGGCCATTACTTGATTTTTGATATGAGCAGTATGTGGTGCTAGAAAGAAGTTACGATTTTTCGAAAATGGTGCGAACGAAGGTATACGAGATTGCGCTGTACTTATCGCGCTAGAAGATGTAACTGCTGTTATGCGCGTCATCCTATACCTTTCATTTGAGTAGTCTATCTTTCAAACTCACTACATTAACAAATGTCGAAGAAAATGCCGCAATTACTCCATTTAATTGTTTTCAAGCCAAGGCGCGTTTTTCTTGCATAATTGTGTACCTTCTTGGCGAATTTCGCAATTATGTCAACACATATATCAACCAGTTTCTCTCAAATATCTTTATTTGGGACAGTTTGATCGAAAATTCCGTGCTGGTTCATCGTCCTTTATTTTGCGTACTCTCCCGCAAATTTTGTTTTCGTACAAACTGTTGTGAGGTTGCATATCTCACCCTTGCCTTAGCAACTCTTCCATCGCAGGATCAAAATCATGCGACCGTACTACAATATATCCATGTTGACGTCTTTTGGCTTCTTTGCATCTTGCCTTAGCCATAGTTAGAGCAGTCTAATTTCCTGAAAGCTGCATGAACTTATCATCAAAATCACTGCATTTCGTACGCGAATCCATACATATTTTGGAGAGCAGTCGCAATGTCAGATTGTTTCCTCCAAAAAAAAAACTAGAAATGGGCGGAAACAACAGCATATGCGTATTTCAGGATTTCGCTGACATTCAGATCTGCTGAAAGAAAATAGTATCAATTCAATGGGTACCGCGGACGCCGCAAAAGTTGATGAGTGAGTGAACTGATTGTGGGTTATCATGTAAAAAAGGCATTATCGCGCTAGCTAATATTTGTGGGCAATAGTCTGGTTGAACTATGTGGGCAAAGTGTGAATATAGAACGAAATACCGTGCAACTACTGTGAAGGGTGCCATGCTTTCAGCTGTGTAGCCCTTTTTCGTACTTACCCGCCTGGTTTTTTTAGGAATTGGTTCGGACTATTGCCCATAATTAGTTGCAATTATGGGAAGACTCCTTACAACTGCATGCATTGCACTTGACTACGTATAAACCCGGATTTGATGGAAATTTCTTGCGCAACCTAAGTGACCGTTATCTTTGTTCGTGACTGGCTACATTTGACTCTCGGCTCTATTTGATTTTTGATTGGCAAGCAATCCCACAACTGTTAACACTTCTTTGAACAATCACTACCAGCAAATTCACAAAAATGTTGCCGCTCTTATCTGGGAGGCGTGCAAGTGGTACCCGAACAGCCGACTGCTGCCGCAGCCAGCCGCCGGAGCTGCCGACAATGCCACTGCAGATGGTACAGTAGCTACGCTCGTCATGTGAACTCTTGACGAGCGGTTTTCTGCACCTCGTCGAGCTGAAGTGCGATATCAGCTTTAGGGATAGTAGGATATCCTCGATTCATCATCATTTTGACCAAAAAAGTCAATTTCTTAAACCATGCAATCGAATACAAAATTATACCGGAAAGTTCCCAAAAAATTACAAACACTTATAAAAATGAATGAGCAGGAAATAGAACTCACTTTTCCTTGGGTATTTCAGAGTTTGAAATGCTTTTGAATTCTGAAATTTATGGAATAGTGAGTTTTACTGAAATAGTTTTGCTGAAGCGGTTATTGAGGGTTATTAGGGTTCTTTTCAATTTTGACTCATTTTTTATTTTGCAACAGGTTCCGATTTTGAAATTTTTGTCTTATTATTTTTTCATTCTCTCAAAATATCTGAAGAATGAATTTTCCACGTGAGTGAACCTGGGCTCTTGTTGGCAACTAGAATACTAGGCATAGAACAGTAAAACAATTTGATTTCTTGGTGATGTACGATGTTTCTTTTTATGTCAGCATATGTGGCTTTCACCTTTCATCACTGACCAGCCAGTAGTTATTTGGCTCGCTTAACGTCGCTAGATATTAAAATCAAGTTTTAATAGACTAATCTTACTTGTTATATTCGTAACATATTGCTGTAAATGTCTTCGTCAAATATTCGACGCTAAAACACAAAACAGATTTTCAGAAAATAAAGATTTCCTGGATTTTTCAGCTTTTGAAAATCACCTGCCGACCTGTCCGTCCCTCCCATTACCCGAGTAACGCCCATCAGCGTGGGTATTCTGAAGTTAACGAGTGCTATATTAGGTTTTAAATCAATGGAAATGTGAGAATCTTTTGATGTTGACAGGTCGATTTCCGTTGTACTCTTAATTCTAGAATACAGCTATGAACATCACCTCTGAACCACTCTTTTATGGACAAGGCTGAAAAGTCGGCAGATAATTTCCAAAAAATTTTTTTTTCGCATTGAATTCTCTTGCACCGATTTGGGCAATCACCTGGTTAAGACCCTGCTATCGCACACGCAAAAATTTTATCACTACGAAAATAGAATCACTACGAGAATTACTTCGGATTCAATTCATCATTAGAACAGAATTAGTATAGTGAATATTCTACGGAACATTGCCGTGCTGAAAGTCACGGGATTCGCTTTCACCTAAAGCCTAATTTTTGCGGCAGAAATTCTGGAATATCCGTCGCATAAAAGATACAAACATGTCTCATAAAGTATTTTGGGTAAAAGCTAGGGCGTTCCCAGGAAGCGACGCACATTAGAGCCCCACAAGCGAATAATGGGAGAGGGACAGCGAGGGTGAATTGAGACGGCTAAAGCGGCTAGTTCAACAGAGGCAACGATTTCAAGCATTGCAGACTCTCCGTCTAGCTACTATATGGGTACACTCACTTTTCGTTCCCGAGAGCTAGCAGGTCTTCTGAAAAGATGTCAAATCGATGTAGCCTGCATACAGTAAACGAAGCGGCGCGGCAAATCACGCGACATCAGATGAATATAAGCTCCCCCACAACGGTGCCGCCTGCACCAGAAATGGAGTTGGCATAGGTGTCTGGCGACTCTAAGGAGCATTGTAGTTGACGTTTAGCGCTCAAGACCGTCGCATAAAACATGGACACCGGGAAACAACCTACAGGGCTCCTAAATTGCAGAGTCGTTTGCACCAGCGGTCGCGTGACCGCTGGTGCAAACGACTCTGCAATTTAAAGGCCCTGTATGAGTAATTACTGCCTAACGCGGCATATTGTATAGTTGTCATCGAATCGATGCGGATCTGTAAGAGGAATAGTTACAAACAACGGCATGCACTCCGTTCAGCTAGTGATGGAAAAATATGGAGAAAAGCGAAAGAGTTGCATGCAACCTTTCTGCACTTAGAAAAAGCCTTTAAAAAGGTGCCCCATGAGCCTTTTTGCAACTAGAAAAAGCCTTCAAAAAGGTGCCCCATAAAGTCATGTGGTGGGCCTTGCGAAGACACATGGTGCTAGCGACTCAATGAATAAAGGACCGGGCATACTTTACGCGATTTCAGTCCCGACGCAATTTGGCGGTATTCCAAGTGTTCATACATAACTCATTGTAAGCAAATTTGAATGAACGGAAGATGGGGCATTTTATCAACCCACGCAAGTTATACATACTATGCATGTGCATTTTGCTAATGTTGGATCTTAACACTTCTGGCGTATTGCCAAATCGCATGGCGACTGAAATCGCGTGAAGTATGCCCGGCCCTTAACGTTGATCTACCATAACTTCAACTCACATGCAAGCAGCTGCAGGGCAATCAAAAGGGTTTCATATCGAAATTGGAGTACAGAAGGGTTAAGTTCTTTCTACCTCGCTCTTCATCACGGTAATGAACGCCGTAATGGAACCGCTTCAGACTTGAACCTCCATGGTCACTTCTTTACGCAGATGATGTGATCTTGATAGCAAGTATCACCTGTATCACCTGTATCCCCGTTGATCATCGTGTTGCACGAGCGGGTACCAGTGATGCCTCCATTCGTCCCTGTCTCGGGCGATTGTTGACCAATGTTTACGTATCGCACCAGGAACACGTGGAACGCTTTGAAGGACTTCATTAAAGGACTTCGTGAACATATCTGACCATCGCGTCGGCGGTCTTCCTCGTTCGCGTTTGACGTCCAGTCGTATCCAATCTGTTGCAGCTCTCGTCCACCGGTTGTCGTCGAAACGCATTACGTGCCCGGCCCATCTTATCTTGTTCTGCTTGGCGTACGCGGCAGCGTCCCTGATCTTCGATCGTTGACGTAGGGTAGAACTTCGTAATCCTTGCCTCACTTGCGTGAGCCGATTCATTCCTAGCATCACTCTCTCAACAGCTCGTTCGATGACGCTAACCGCATGTTCATCCTGCTTTCTCATTGTCCATGTTTCTGAAGCGTACGTCAAAGCAGGAAGAACCGTCGAGTTGAAAAGGTGGGCGCGGAGCCGGATGTTCTTGGTCTTCTTCACTACGTCCTCAATTGTCTTATATGCTCCCCATGCTGCACGTTTCCTCCTGCTCAGTTCCGGAGCTAGATCGTTCATCATATTGAGTTCACGACCTAGGTAGGTGTAGCTTGAGCATTCGGTGATGTTCGTCCCGTTGAGCATGAAAGGAGCATCAGGCACTCTTCCGTTCCTCATGAACATCGTCTTCGTTAGATTCAGCCGTAGACCGATCTTTCCACACACTTCGTCAAACTGGGCCAGCATTTGTTCCGCCTGCGTGATGCTTGGTGTTATCAATACGATGTCATCAGCAAAGCGAAGGTGGTGTAGCTGCCGGCCGTCGACTTTCACTCCCATGTTGTCCCATTCCAACTTACCATGACGTTCTCCAGAGCGGCACTGAATAGTTTCGGCGATATAGTATCGCCTTGTCGCACGCCTCTCTTCACGTCAATGATGATGTCCTTGTAGAATGGTGTTATGGTGGTTGTGAAGTCGTTATACAGCTCACGAATTATCTTGATGTAATGAGTCGGAATACCTTGATTGCTCAAGGCATCGATGACGGCTTCAGTCTCAACCGAGTCAAAGGCCTTCTTCAAGTCGATGAAGGTGAGACAGAGCAAGTACCAGAATGAATTACAGAATGCAGTACAAAGCTGGAAAGACAGACTAGACTTGTATGGATTGAAGGTCAACACCAGGAAGAGAGAATATGAGGGAGTGGATAAACAAACTCTAGGTACCAGCGATGGTAAAGAGCTAAAGAAGGCAAGAAGGCACAAGTACCTAGGCAGTATACTTGGGGAAATTCGAAATTTTTTTCGAATATTCGAATATCGAATATATTCAAAAATTGAAAATTTCGAATATTCGAATATCGAATAACATTCGAAAATCGAAATTCTCGAATATTCGACTATCGAATACCATTCGAAAATCGAAAATTTCGAATATTCGACTTTCGAATATTATTCGAAAATCGGAAATTTCGAATATTCGACTATCGAATATTATTCGAAAATGAAAATTTCGAATCGAATGATATTCGAATATCGAATATCATTCGTTATTCGAATTTCGAATATCATTCGGTCCTCGAATGTTATTTGATTTTCGAACATCATTCGATTTTCGAATACTGATCGAGTAATTTACATCATTGAGACTGCCTACGAAAGTATAAAACATCTAAGAATAAATTGTTTTATCCAAATGTTAAGAATGGTCACTTTCTTATGTTACAATTTACGATGGAAAAACGGTTTAGTCGTGACGTGAAGAGACTTAGGAACCCAAAGGCTATTCTTGGTGACGGTTATGAAGAGATTTTTCGTACTTCAAAGAAGATTATATACCCTCACTGAGAGTTGCGATTGGATATACAGCGGTCCCAAGAGTATGTAGATCTGTAGGCTGACATCAACTTAGAGTATGAGGCGACTT